TGTGCTGTAGTTTAGTGTGTTGATTAAAGCTCAGTTGTGTTTTTGAATATGTATAACCAAGCTCAAAGTGTGCTGTAGTTTAATGTGTTGATTAAAGCCCAGTTGTGTTTTTGAATATGTATAACCAAGCTTAAAATGTGCTGTAGTTTAGTGCGTTGATTAAAGCCCGGTTGTGTTTTTGAATATATGTATAACCAAGCTTAAAGTGTGCTGTAGTTTAGTGTGTTGATTAAAGCTCGGTTGTGTTTTTGAATATGTATAACCAAGCTCAAAGTGTGCTGTAGTTTAGTGTGTTGGTCTCTGCTGTTCATAAGGATTTGTTTTTGCCATGATGTGGATATTTTCGTAGGCCGAAAGAAAAAAGATGTCTGTGAAGTTGTTCATGATCCGCCATCAGCGTGTTTAAAAAGTACAGACAACAACTTTGATTTTTCTCGCTGCGTTACTTCGATGCTCTCTGTTGTTTTATTTAAGTTATGGGAATTGGATAAATCTGAGGCTAGAAAGAATGCACAATATTCCCCCTTTTTTGTTTAACTACGGATAGCCAGATGATGGTGATTTTCATTTCATTTGTTTTTATGCCAGAGCGCCTGTGCAAAAAGTCCCTGCAAAAACAACGCCTCTTGTCGGAGTGGTTATACCGACGTTGGAGATCACTGTCTGTGTCCTGTTGGATTTAGTGGTCGGGCTTGTGAAAAAGGTAAAATTTACAAATGCGACGCTTCTTGAGGACATTTAGTGTTAAAGGTTTACAAAGGGGTTGTAAACAATTGTTCACCCATGAAACGTAATTAATATTGTTAACTTCGCTTGTGTTTCACTCATTTTACCAACACTGAAACATTGAAAAGGCGAAATAGCGAAAACTCGATGCTAAAAAATTCCTTTTGTAAGTCGCCTCTTTGCAGCAAATTGAGGTATTCCTAAAAATCTGGCACCAAAATATCAAGTTCGTGGGCTGTTTGGAAGCCGCTGACTAAAAGAGCCATATTAATGGCAGAAAATGATCTGTAATGATATGAAATAAAAAGAGAAAATTACTGCTTCCCTGTTCAGTAATGCCCGTGGTTCACGTGGAGGCCATTTAGTTTTCAGATAAAGCGCAAATAGACAGAGGAATGATAAAACAAAAACTTTTTCACCACAACTGGCAGTACTGTAGCAATCTGATTGGCCAATTCGCCGTTGTCCATAGAAGTTTAAACAGCGCTGCTCACGTCAACCTGTCACATGATGGTCACGCACTGACAGAATCGTTTTATAGGACGTTCATACTGTGGTAAAAAAACGACAACAACAAACCGACAGTGGTTTAAAGCAGTCTGCATTCTTATCGTCAACGATAGTTGTCATCGCAGTGGTCAAAGTTTGTCCCAAACTCACTCCGCCACGCTCACAGACCATGCTACACCAAATGTCGAATTGTTAAATTTTCTCCAAAATCAATGTCTCACAAAGGCACTGAACAGTCTTGGATTAACGCAGATGGTAGAAGGGATAACAAGATCTGCCTCTAATGCGTGCTTAGACCATATTTATTCTAGTCATCCTGCTAGAATTAGAGAGGTATCCAAGGGTAAATCTGGACTTTCCGATCATCTTCCGGTCACCATCTTGAGGTGCTACAAAACCATGGATGCACAACGTAAACAACATTTCAAAATCAAATACAGAAATATCGACAAAATCAACAAAGAGTGCTTTCTGCGAGACCTAAGAGAAGCCCCTTGGGACGTCTCCTTTGTTTTTCGAGATGCCGATGACATTGTTGAATCTTGGTACAAAATCTTTAATGACATTCTTGATAATCACGCACCTTTAAAGTCCAAGAGTGTGAAGAAAATCAATCAGCCGAAATGGTTCTATACAAAGAAATAAATAAACGCGATAATCTTCTAAAGAGGGCCAGGAGAACACAAAATGAGCATGATTGGTCTGCTTTTAAACTGGTTAGAAACAAGGTGACGAGAAAACTAAGAAATGCGAAGGAACAGTACTTTCAAACTCAGTTCAGTAAAAGTAAAAACTGTCCAAAGAAACTTTGGTCTTTAATTAAAGACCTATCTAAAGATACGAAGAATAACGACGGCTCCGTCCCTTGCTGACGAAAACAACAACTTGATAAAGGATGACCATCCGATCGCTGAACGCTTTGACCACTTCTTCGCTGATGTATATAAACGTCTCATAAAGGCGACACCTGTACTTCCTTATGATGCTCTTCCTGGTCCACTAGACAAATTTAAGAGTCAAATTGAGAATTTTATTCCGCAAATAACTTCTAGTGAGGTTAGCGATTATCTTCTAATTATACCTACACACAAAGCCACGGGAATCGATTGGCTTGGTGCCAGAGTTCTAAGGATTGCAGCTCCTGAAATATCATGCTCCATAACTAAAATTATAAATCACTGTATTGAAACTTGTACATTTCCCTCACAATGGCAAATAGCAAAGGTTAAACCTCTATTCAAGAATCAAGGAAACAAACAATATATTCAAAACTATCGTCCTGTTAGTATTTTTCCTATTCTTTCTAAAGTCTTTGAAAGACACATCTTCAATGCTGTGAACACCTACTTAACAGAAAACTCACTTTTATACCGCTTCCAATCAGAGTTCCGTAAAAACCACTCCACGGATACTGCTTTGTTGTTTCTTCGGGACCAAGTCCTTCTTGACCTTGATAAGAACAACGTCAGCGGCTTAGTTTTTGTGGACGATAGCAAGGCATTCGACTTGATCAATCATCACATTCTCCTGGTAAAGTTAAGATCAATTGGATTTTCAGATAATGTTGTAAAGCTATTGCAGAGCTATCTACTCAATCGCAAACAGTGTGTTACTGTAAATAACTCGACTTCGTCACAACTTACCAATGGAGTTCCTCAAGGTAGCATATTAGGACCTCTACTGTTTTTAATTTTCGTCAACGATCTTCCCGAAGCTGTTGGGTCGGACTCGACTATTCATGCTTACGCGGATGACACCACATTTAAAGCCAGCGCTAGTATCGATAACGCACCTTTGGAATTGGAACGACGTCTTCAAGAATACACGGATAAATTAAGTAAATGGTCTAGCGAAAATGGGATGGTCCTAAACGCCGTTAAAACCAAAGCATTACTTATCACCGGAAAGAGGCTACATTCATCATTAGCTGATGGCAATCACCTGACAGTGACCCTTGATGGGGCCGAAATAGAACAAGTAACTTCTTATAAATTGCTTGGTGTAACACTCGATCAAGATCTTACATTTAGTGACCACATTTCTAGNATTCTAGAAGTGTTGTAAACTTTAGTAAACTAGGCTGGTTGCTTTTTTTTTTTATGAAATCAAATTAAATAGATGTACAATGATTTTTAAGAGCCTTAAAGGCGATGTTCCGATTTACATCAGAGACTTGCTCAAGACGAACAGTTCTGTACACAATAGATCTACTAGACATGGCAATTTAAATTTAGTGCATGTGTCCCAAATACCTAAGAAATAACGATGGTGGCAAGGCATTCAGTGTTGACGCAGTTAAGTTATGGAACAGCCTTCCCCATGATATCAAAAATAAGCTTAGTATAAAACTATTCAAAACAGCTGTGAAAAAGCATCTTATAAGCTCATATAAAAACCTGGACAACTTTGAAACAATATTAAGCAATAGTACATTATCTAATTTCAATTTTTTATAACTTAATTTTATCTTTCTCAATATTTTTAATCTATGCTGCTATTTCTATTATAGAATTTTGTAATTATTTATATATTTATTTATTTATCAGTTTTTTGTAATGTTGTATAATCTACTTAGAGGGCCACAGGTTTGTCAGCTCTACAGCTGTTACGTGTCCCCCTCTATAAATAAAGTCCTTACTTACTTACTAAGTTAACAAAAACATACCTTCAGATTTGTTCCCCTTGTTTTTTTTTTTGTTTTTTGTTTTGATTTTCTGAGTCTCTTTATCCATTTGTAGGCATGATGAGCATATTGAAGGTAACACAACTGCAGCCCAAACGTCTTCTGCACCAATACCAAGGGGTCATAAAACTGTTTGTCAATGTTAATTTATTAAAACGGAAAATAAAGCCTCTCACTGCTGCATTGTCGTCTAATTTTATATTGTTAAATTTCTCTAGGACCTACTACTTGCAAGGAAGCTCATGAAAAGAACCTGTAAGTGAAATTAATATTTAATTTCCTTTGTTTGCGTGTGTGTGTGTGTGTGTGTGTGCGCGCGTGCGTTTGTTGTTATAATTTGTGTATTTTGGTCTCTTAGTCAGCGGCTTTCAACTATGCGTGGGTTACAGTCATGCGTTTGAAAGATCTAAGATGCTCCAACTATGATTTGAAAGCGTAAGAGACCTAGATAATTTCGTCATACAACTTTCATTACTTATCATCATTAATTGCTTTAATTTAAAAGGATAAAAGAAAGCACTTTGGTTACCCTCCTTCTTGATTCAAAACCAGTCTCCCTTCTTTGTTACATGGGGGACTTTGGATGTGGAGCTGGGGGATGGACGCCGGTCATGAAGATTGACGGCAAGAAGGTTTGTCAATGTCTGCTGTTGTCGTTTTTGTTGTTGCTGTTGTTTATCTATTTATCTATATGGAGAATGATGATAAATAATTACGGGAGATCGCCCTGTTAAAGAAAAAGGTAGTTAAACACTTGTGAAAAACGAGGTCTTTCGTGGGAAAACCTTAAATATAAACAGATCAAACATGCCCCTAGAATAATAATTGTTTACTGTAGAGACAACTTCCCTTCATAAACTTCCAATTCTTGTACAATAAGATTGAGATTTGAAAAGAAGGACTGTCTCAGCATTGTTATGATCCTGATAGCAGTCTGCATTGACGAAGTCAATCAGATCAATCTTTTATGCTAAAATGACATTTCCGGCAAAACCCTGGTTTTTTAATTGCCTAAACTTGAATGTGTGCATGTATGTCTGTATGTATGCATGTATATAATGCCAAGAAAATACTTCCTCTTGTTTTCAAGGGAACTTTTCACTTTAACAAACCTTACTGGACTGATAAAAACAACTATAATCCTTCTGGCGGGGAGACCGGGTTCGACGATAAAGAAACTAAGTTACCCTCCTACTGGAATACTTCCTTCTCTAAGATCTGTCTTGGAATGAAGATCGGCAATCAGACTAACTTCATAGTCATTAATAAACAGGCGGACTCTTTGTACTCACTGATCGCTGACGGGAAATACCGCGAAACGTCATTAGGTCGCGATAAGTGGAAGGAGATTCTTGGCGCAAACGCTTCTTTGCAGACCAACTGCAACAAGGAAGGTTTCAATGTTGTTTGTGAAGCCAAAGACTCCCCTAAAGCCAGGATTGGTATCGTAAGCAACCAACAGAACGACTGTTACACATGCAACTCAAGAATCGGATTTGGAACAGGGGGGCCCCCGGATAATTCAAACACATGTGGCAATGAAGCGAATTCGTTCAGTCCGGATAATGGGATAAAACAAATCAAAGCTATGGGATACATCTTGGTTCAGTGAGGAGCATTTAACAATCAGAACGAAGTCTGCATCTAGCGATCACTTTATTGATCGAAATTTAAGAGAGCCTAATTAAGGCGAGGACGAGTCAGCTAAAGACAACTTTAGATCTTACTTATCTTGATCATGACAGGTTTTTGTCACTTTATGTGTCATCGAGAGAAAATAATTAAAAAATTTAAAAATTGCGTTTTGCTTGGCATTATATAATATTTTGCAAACTCTGGAAGACTTAAAAGCTCACTGCAACGAAACGCTTTCAGAAAAAAAAAAAATAACAAAAACAACACATATCTCTCTTTCTTTTCTGCCTATATCTCTACCATTGTTTTGTGGGCTCCTGGAAATTCAGGAAAACCAAAATCCGTGAACCTGTGAATCTACGGTGAACTAGGTATTGTGGCAACAGGGAGTAAATTATTCAAGAAGCCGTGAAAATCCTTTCAGTTACCAAGAAAACTTGGCAAGAATTTTTTTTTGAAAGTAACGTTCCGCTGTAACATTTTTTATAGTGTTCCCCTCAATATAATCTAAAAGACCCTTCAGAGGAGGGGCGAGGTTGTTGGGATTTAACTCTGACCCTGAAAAATTGGCATCTCCCCTTCACATCCATTTATCATCATCAACTCCTTCTTAGATGTCATCTGATGTTAAGGTTCAAAACGCGCTTTGGTTGCAACACCCTTGTTACACCACTTAACCGCCACCTGCTGCATATGTTTGCACCTATTTCTTTAAATTACTTTTTCTCTTTACCAGATCATCCAAACTCAAGCCTGCTTTATAATATTTCAAACTACTAATGTTTTCGTAGACTGTATCTTTTTGGCATCAGATTACTTCTGTGCTATGAGGGCATGTGTCTATAGAGTCCTCGCATAAGCGTGAGAATACAGTATAGAAGAAAAGTCTACTTAAATGAAAAGCTCTTTTTTTATGCTCTCTTGAAAAATTTTTTGTTATTGCAAATAAATCACGGGTCAAAAATGACATTTTGCATTTTGACATCGTAGGTCGACCAGCCTCTGAGCGCATATAATTATAAATCAAAAGCATCAGCAAATTTGACCGCCATCTTTTCCTGAGTAAACAAAAATTAACAGCTTAGTTAAGTGTTGTTGACATTCGAGTTTCTATTGGTTGACGAAGGCATTGCCTATTAAATACATTTAAGTTTAATCAACAGCTAGTTTATAGTTACCGAGTCAAAAGAATTCGACAGTCTTGCAATCATTTCACATCTTACCACACAGAAGGTATAGGGGAATTCTCTTTCTTCAGCCACGCTTAAATTATGCATTGTGTTTGTTTTTGTGTTATCTTTTCGGCCGTATGCTTCTCGTTACCCAAGGATGTAACCTCAGAAGGTGAAGTTCAGTCTAACTCACATGTTTTACCTAATTAGGGGCTCTGTAATCCTTTCTCGATTTTGATTTCTGTTTTATAGTATTGGTTAGAAGCGAACTTCTTGAAGGAGAGCTTGATAATTTTGCCAATTTTTTTCTTTCACATCCGCAAAGAAATAATCATAAAAATAGTGTGGGCGTTTCGTTGTAACAAGGAAAGGAACAAAAAGAGAAAAGAAAAAAGAATGGTTTCACATTGTGCCTTTTTAAAGGAAAATCTAAGGCATTTAATTCAAATAAAATGTAGCACTGCTGTGTAACTATTTCAAATTAATCGAACAACTTTAAAAGGGTAAGTTAAGAAATGAATTACAATTTGACTTGTATCATTATAAAGTAAACGTCGTAGCTGGCTATATAGCTCACTCTAGACGTGCATTAATAACCTGGTCGGCATGAAGATTGTTCTAAGGACAGCTGGTCTCGGACCCTATTGAAAAAAGAAAAGGATAAAAGAAAAAAAAAAAACGACTCCATGAGTATGGAATCAAATTATCATTCATAAGATTGCCTAGTTATCTATCCTCAGTAAACATATGTCACCTTACGAAATAGAAAAAGGATGGAATCTTTGCGCCTTTTTCTTTTCGACTGTTTTTTCATGGAAAATAAACTAGATAGGACTTAAGCAAAATTTCTGAGGGTGGACATGGAATACAGCCATTAAGATGAATGTAAATTTTTCCCACTTCTATCATTGCAATACAATCACATTTCTATCTAAAAGGATTCTTCGAAGCAAACTACCGTCGCATCCTAGAGTTCAGGCCTGAAAAAGCATTTGACGGTAGAAGCCTCATAAACCACGTGATCCCCATCGCCGAGGTCACGATAAAAGAAGTGTTGTGAAACGATGTGTTTTTTGGAACCCGATTGTGTAAGCATCAACTTTGATCATCGGGCTGATGTAAATGGAAAGTACAAATGTGAACTGAATAATGTTAGTCACGATGGACACGAACACGATTTGAGGGAAAACCCAAATCATGTTTACCATGCAGCTGAGGTACTTGTAAATATCCATTAAAGATTGAGCATATGAAACCCCTTTTTTCCGCTGGACCATTATTGGCGCCACTGAAAATGAAAAACCCTTTTTTCAGTAAATTGCTCAAAATTCAAGCCCTTTTTGATCTTTCGTGTCTTGTAAAAATGTTAGGTTATACGTTATTTTATTCTAATTTCTTGAGGGCTCATCGTCCACATTACCCTGCGAGCAGCGAGAGGTCCCTTCGATCTTCCTGGAAATGTCGAGATTTCTTGCTAGATCGAAGAGACCTCTGCTGGCAGGGTATGTCCAAATGTTTCCACCAAATCCCAGCTGCTTGATCGGTTTGAAAATAAGAAGCTACTGTCAAGCTAGAATCTTTATGAAGACATCACGGCGGTTACCATAATTACATCCAAGGACACGCTTAATCCCGAATTGCTTTCTTCTAAAATTCTGATTATTGATAATCATAACTTTAGCAGTGTTGAGTATGATTAAAACAACATTGATTTTCTTTTCTTATCAGAGCGCTTGCTTGAAAAATCCTTGGATAAATAACGCCACTTGTCAAAGCAGTTTCACGGACAAGGGACATCGCTGCGTTTGTGCAGCTGAATTCCGGGGTCAGGATTGTGACGAAGGTGAAGGATGCTTGTACCCATGCGTCACTACATTTCATAACGAGGACGTCGTTTGTAAAGCGTTAAAAAAGGACGTTTACTGCTATGGCATTGCTATTTCAAACTAGACCATACCTACACTTTATTTTCTCTTTCCATCTTCATCAAAGAACTTCGATAAAGCCAGTTTCCAAGCTTTCGTGCTTAGCAGTTCATTCCTCTTCTCGATAAAACCAGAGTTCAAATAATTTTTTTTAAGCTAGCGGACGAAATTATGAGCCAATGGCAAGCCTAGCCGTCGACGCCGAAGAAGAAAAGAAAATAAAGCTGATGGTTTTGCAGTTTAATTAAGACAACTATAACGGCCACTGGGTTATGTGCTTTAGTCCATATGTGATAAGTTTCCTGTAAGCTGCCGCGATAAGAATTGCATAAAACGTCATGTAATCGATGACCTTATAGATCGAGTTAATCGATTAGAAGAAAGAAACTTACGTACAACACTTAATTCAAGTAGCAAAAATAGCAAGGGTATTCAAAAGTAAATCTGTAGTTGCTTTTTAACACTCTATATCTTAACTTCATTTGTAAATTTGTTCTTCAATTTCTTTAACAGACATTGACGAGTGTACTGAAGGGTTATACCATTGTAGCCCTAACGCTGTTTTTAACAATACTAAACAGTCGTCTAACTGCAATTGTAAACCTGGATTCCCTGGAAATGGGCGAGAATGCAACGTCGATGGCTAACGTCTCATTCATAACATATTTAATATCCTTGTTTACTTCTTAATATGTAATTGTGTCATGAGAAGTGGATCTGATTTAAAAGTAAATTGTCATTCTCATAATCGTCGGTTTCTTCAATTTCCACAGGAGCTACGACGTGCAAGGAAGCTCATGAAATGAAGATGTATGTAGATGTGATCAACGATCGAGACGCGACTTACTTATTGTTGAGGTTGGGAAAGCTGCTTAAAGACCACGAAGACATTGGAAAAGGAGAAATATTTAGCCATCTTTACCGACTTAGTTAGCTAGGAGATGAGGAGGTCACTTGCTTATTGAGTACACCAAAGAGCTTTGCTATATTCGACAAGCGCTCGAGTAAAAAGAGAAACAATTCCTACGGTTATTTATTCAACGTAACTCTTGTTCGTTTGGATAGTTAGCCAGATCGTAAGTGTTGTTTATTCCGTTCCTCTCCACACGCAGTACAATAAGTGCTTTATCCTTCCCAATTTTTTTTTTCTGGGGTGGGGCTTGGGGGCTTATGGGTGATACATGTATCAAGGCTACAGCTAATGATCTTTCCTCAAAGAAAGAAGCCCCAAAACGTTTCCGGAGTGAAAATGATAAAACGAAATTTTGTCTGAATACCCATTCAAAATTTGTTTATTATTATCTCTATTAATTTTTAATTAAAAGAGCAAACGTGAGCGGCGTGGTTACTCTCCTTATTGATTCAATACTAGTGCCCGTTTTCTGTGATGTGGGTGATTTTGGATGCGGAAGTGGAGGATGGACACCTGTGATGAAGATTGATTGCAGAAAGGTTTTTCTTTACTGTATTCTTTTTTCAGTTTGAGTTCATTTGATTGATGTTAGGAAATAAAACAAAACGTTTTCATTACATTGTAATGTATTTATTACTATCATCTACAATATTATCATTGTTATTTATGATTTTATTTTTTGATAACTGCATTGAGATCTTCACCTTCATGAATGTGACCATTTGCCACCTTTGCGAAAAGCATGATTGACCAAGTTCTTATCCTTCAACAGGGAACTTTTCATTATAGCAGCTCTTACTGGACTGATAGCAACCTTCCTGGAGGAGAGACTGGGTTTGACGAACAGGAAACCAAGTTAGCCAACTACTGGAGCACATCCTTCTCTAAGATCTGTCTTGGCATGAAAAGCAACGAACAGTTGAGTTTCTTTGCCATCAACAAGCAGGCTGACTCCCTGTACTCACTGATCGCTGATGGGCAATACCGCGAAACCTCACTGGGTCATGACACATGGAAGACACTTATTGATGCAGCTGTTTCTTTGCAAAGCAAATGTAACGAGGAAGGATTCAATGTATTTTGCACGTTTACCATATCATCCAAAGCCAGGATTGGTATTGTGAGCAACCAGGAGGACGAGTGCTCCACGTGCGACTCAAGGATCGTATTTAGCACTGGAGGCTACCCTTATGACACGAACAGCTGCGGTAACGTGGCAAAACATAACCCAGATAATGGAATTAAATACATCAAAGCGATGGGATACATCTTGTTACAATAA